TAATTTAAGTATTTTATTAGATTTATTATTAATTATTTAAGCTTTTTAAAAAACTAAAAATATAGTTTTCTTATTATAGCTTGACTTATAATAGAGGCCTAATAATAATAAAAATACTAAAATATATAATAATTAAGCTAAAGGCTAATAATATTATAAGTAACTTAACTATTAATAATCTATTAGGGAAACCCTTAAATAACCGTGGTTTATCGTAGAAACCCAAATATCGCTAAGATACAGGATCGTTAATTCGTTATCGACATGGTTTACTGTAGTAATCCGTTATTTGTCATGCCTGTGCCGTCTCGTAGCTCATGCACCCGGCCCAACCTGTGCCCTACGTTGCAGCCTGTGCCGTCTGAGGTCTCGTAGCTCATGCAGCCGGCCCAACCTGTGCCCTACGCTGCAGCCTGTGACTCACAGGCTGTGAGTCTGTGACTGGGTCGTAACACGACCCAGTCACAAGATGCAGCGCAGGGCACAGAATGGGCTAGCTGCATGAGACACCGGCGCGGAACAATGACGAGCTAATGGTATAGCGCTTACCATGCACGAAGTGAGCAGTGAGAGTGATCACGACAAATAGCTGCGTGAGCAAGTGTGTTGCTCACGAGGGGACGGGTGACCACTATAGTATATAGGGACCCCCAAATTCCGCTTCATAGATAGATTCTAGCTCCTTAGGGTGTGATTCCCGGAATTAGGGTTAAAAAATCAAGGTTAACTTTTCGACCCCAGTTAATATATACAGTTACTAGATAAAAGTCTCGATAATAAGTTAATAACCCATTTTTACACTAAAACTTATACTTTTTAAGTATAAATAAATTAAGATTTTTATACGTGAGTAAATTAATAAAAATCTAAACTTAATAAATAATTAATTTAAATTTACTATTATTATTTTTTAATTAATTTTCCTATTTTTTTAAGCATAGATTTGTAAGCTTAAAAAGCGGAAAAATTAAAGATTTTAATTATAGTGGGTTATAGTGGATGG